TAAATAATACACTGAAGGCTTAAATTTCCAAGTTGATTCTTTGGTAACATTTATAAAAGTTAACAGGGCATATTTAATTTAGGAATTGGCTCACGTCCTTCTCCTTACAGCTGAAACCTCATAAATGAAATATACTGGATCACTGCCCAGCGCGGAAATAAAAGTTATGAATAATGTTTCTATCTCAATCATTGTCACTGCTTTAATATTCCTAATTACTTTAAAAAGCTAGATATTCAATATAGGAAAACTTTTTTTTCTTTTTATCTCCACTTGTGAGATTAGTGCAATTTAATAAGAGTCACTCTGTCGTCTTTATTCAGGGTAGACTGACATTTCATCCTTTTACTCTTCATTATTATATAGGATAGAGGTTTATGACCAAGCATGCAGCCACTCCATTTCCCCATATTGGTCCGTCTAACATCTCAGAATTACCCACAGCAGCTGATGTGTGTCCACCTACCAGGCAAATCAGCATCACCTCACCTCCTTTATGGAGCAGAAAGAAATTAGTTCAGGCCTTAAAGAAATTAAGCTACGGAGTTATACGTCTATAAGAGACTGAAAAGTCCCCCACCCCCATGCCAGCGCTGGATTCGTCCCCTTCGCAACCATCAGAGTCATAAATCCCTTGGCTGCCACAAAGGGCAGGGCAGGGGCAGGCAGTAGATGATGGATCTTTATAACCCTCCCTGCCACTTCCAGGAATTTAACCTAAGAAGAAATTTGGACAAGTGGGCACAGATTTATGCACAAGGAGAATTACTGCAGTATTTTTACACAGGGCCACGGCCCCTGATCCACGTGTCCAAAAATCTCTAGAAAGTCCATAGGAAATTTTTTTTAAGGTCGACACCAAATTTCATTTAGAAACAAAATCTCCATGGAACTGATTTGTGGTTGTAGCCACTAGATGTGATCAGTTACATGTCACTTCAGAAGAATTATTATATTTCATCCCAGGGTATTGCCCCACTGAGGGAATGTGTCATATATGATATAGTCACCATATACTTTTCTAAACTCTGAAAAAATATAAATTGTGAAACCAACAGGTCCCAAGGATCTTGGATAAAGGATGGTGGGCCTCAGATAGTGAAAAATCATGAAGAACCTAAATGCCCATCAATAAGAGACTGGTTAAATACTTTGGTAATGCACAGAATGAAAATCTATAAGGCCATTAAAAACTTGAAGGGGGAATTCATGTTTGTTGACAAGGAAATAAATACATGACATGAAGTGGAGTTAAAAAAAAGCAAGTCACAGAATAGCACATACATTTGATCTAAATAATCCACATTGTATCAGATCTAGCTCTCGGTGCAAATGTGTTCAGAAATAACAGGGAGGGCAAGCACCCAACTGCCAGAAGAGGTTGTGCCTGCGTGTGCGGGTTTAACCTTTTTGTCTACACTTTTGGTGCCATTTGAATTTTCTTTTTAACATGAACAGGTATAATTTTAGAATCAGAAAACAACAAGAATGCCCGGCCGGCGTGGCTCGGTGGTCGAGCATTGACTTATGAACCAGGAGGTCACGGTTCAATTCCTGGTCAGGGCACATGACTGGGATGGGGGCTCGCTCCACAGTGTGGGATGTGCAGGAGGCAGCCAACCAATGATTCTCTCTCATCATTGATGTTTCTATCTCTCTTTCCCTCTCCCTTCCTCTCTGAAATCAATAAAAATATATTTAAAAAAAGAAAACAACAAGAATGATGCTTTTGATTCAACAAAAATGAAAGCTTCCCTGCAAGGGTGTCACCTGCATAGACATGTCTATGGACAGATCCCACTCAGAAGTCTCCAGAGACACACACTGCTCTGATTGGAACACCACCCCCACGAACACAGGCCTCACAAAGACCCGAAGGCACTGCGGAGCACACGCAGGCCGACAGGCGTCCACCGGCACAACAGCCAACAGCTTCAAGCTGCTGGGAGTAAACCCAGTCACAGTGTGCCCCATGGCCGATTCCTCTATCGCCAGAACAATATCTCAGGGCCACAGCTTTCAAGCAGATCCTTCCTTCCCTGTGAGCACCTACGTCTTCTAATCCATTTCAACCTAAGGCTGTATTAATAGAGGCTGAGCATCTAGAAGGAAGGAGAGCATAACAATTGTCTAGGTTTAGGACACACGTTTTTGCTTGACTAACAGCCCCAGTTTTACTATTTCCTAGCTGTGTGTTGGTTGATGGTTGCTTAACCTCTCTGTGCTTCAACTTTCTTATCCGTAAAAGAGGGCTAATAATAAACCCTACACCATAGATTTGTTGTGGAGACTAAATGAGAAGATAAAGTGCCTAGTGCAGAGTAAAATTCAGTAAATAGTACTCATCTTTATTATTATTTTTTTCATACAAGCCTGCACTTATATGGCCAGACCTAGAAATAATAGTTTAAAAGGAATAAAGGCCAGACCTAGAAGTAATAATAGTTTAAAACAGTGGTCGCCAACCTTTCGGACCTTCTGGACTGCCAGTGGTCCGCGGACCACTGGTTTAAAAGGAATAAAGGCCACAGACAGTGGAGAGAAACCAGATGGGTAAGGCAGTTCAGGCCATGTCATGTGAGAAACAAAGGAGCTTAGAGAATAAAGACTTGGGGGAGGGAAGTGATCACTATCTTACAATATTTGAAAGGCTGATCCATGGAAGGGGACTCTGGTTTCTTCTATGTGGCCTCAGTGGCTATTATCAAGTGCTCTGAGATGACCACCTTTCCATACACAGTGGCCTTGTCCACTGAGCTCCTTGGAAGAAATTCCCACATGGCAAGGAGGGTCATGGCTGCTCTGGCCTTTATCATGAGTGAGAACCAACTGGTAGAAGCTAGAGACAGATTTCCACTCAAGAGAAATGAAAACTTCCCAATAGTCAGAATGTGCTTCCATGGGAGGCAGTGAGCTCCTTGTTAATGGGGGGATTCAAGAAGTTGGAAAGCTCATGGCAGGGCATCTAAACAGTCACTGCTCTGAAGGATTTTGAGAGTGAGACTCTGTGAATTCCCTTCATTCAATGCGGCTATCCCTCAAAACAGGGTTGGAATGTGTCCTTTAGGACTTCCTATGGACTTAGTAGTACATGCCTTTGAGTACACCCAGGGGTGGTGGCTCTTCGACCCTTGAGGGTGGATTTATTGAGAAAACAGCTGTGGCTGCTCAGCACCAAGTCTGATGACTGATTTGAGGGTGAAGAAATTGGGGAGCCCTGTTTTGTAATATAAAGTAACAAGGCTGTTTCCCTACGTGCTTGATAAACTCACTCCAGAGGCAAAGTTTACTCTAAACCGCCTGGTCCTGTTCGTCGAGTGCTGCCTTCATTCTAGTTCCTTCCCCAGATCGGAAACCCTGAGAGGCCCATGCCTGAAAAACCCTCCAGGGCCTGCTCCCTGCCCAGCACAGTCCAGCACATCATAAGCACCAAACACACTGGTACCGAATGGTGATTTATATGCACTCGGGGCCCCTGGGACTCAGGATGTATTTCAGCCTCCATCAGGCTGCCCTTGACATTATAATCCAGCAGCAGCAAGCAGATCTGTCCCAGCAGAGCTCACCTAATCCAACTTAGATAGTTCTTCATCAAAGATTCATTGTAAGAAAAATTACACAAAACAGAACACGGACAAGGGGGGAAAAGCTCTCAGGTATTTCAACCAGCATGTTTCCTGTCGTCCACAGAAAGACTGGTTGAGCACACTCCGTTAACTCGCGTGTCCCTCAGGTTTACCCTTCATTGTCTGGAGGAGTCCCTGGCCCTGTCCTGTCTCAGTGCGGCACACCTCAAAGCGGTGAAACTGACGGGAGAAGGTGCCCCCCCCACCCCAGTCACCAACACATTGGAGAGTCTTTTGAACCCAAATGGACCTTGGACTCCCTGATCCGAGATAACCACCCAGGCTCAAAACAAAAGCACACCCAGCCTTGCTTTGGTCAGTATGCTCTCATGTACCAGGCAGACACGGAGGCTCCAGGAAAGGCCTTTAGAAAAAAAGGACCATAATTAGATGTTTCCACCCCAGCAGAGAGTGAAAAGAGACAAAAGCACCACATTGGGCCACCCAACATTCCCTCTCCATGTTTTCACCACCACTGTAGTCACCATGGGACAGTGGCTTCCAAAGATGGGTCAATAATGGGGCTGGATCCCTAATGGATTAGCTTAGCTATGTGATCTACTCAAGTCACAATAAACAGGAAAGTCACTCTACCCCACCTCAAACAGGAAGAAAATGGGCTTCAACACTATCAAGCCCTCTTTGAAAATCAAGTAAGACCATGTCTTAACCAATCATGGATTGCAAGATGCACCATTGGAAAGGGGGTCAGTTGTAAGTATTTAGGGGAAATCAGCCAGAAGGGAAGGATTTGCAAAGGACTCCCCTGAGCAGCTGTTATGAATACCCATCCTCTCATTGGCCAGCCCCACAGTGGAGACAATGTCCTGTGTGTCACTTGATCAGTCCCAAGAGCATCCACCTCACTCCCTGCTCACCAGGAAGCCTTCCCCAGAGAGATGGGAAGCACAGGTACCTTCCCCTACAAGTGTCCCGTTCTCCTACCTTTGGACAGAGGCATCCCAGTGCCCACCAGGCTCATGAGTCAGTCCCCTGAGCCTCTATGAGCACCCACAAAACTAAGCCTTTGGACCAGCAAAACTAAGGACCAGGCCTTGACCACAGTGAATTCCTGGGTCTGCACCTCAAGGTGTTTTATCAAAAGTCAGAGTTGTACAGATGACACCACAATCCCCACACATACACATACAACACACAATGCTGCTCCAGAACTCCACAAACCGTTACCCCCACGCCCCTCACACCCTCTCCTCCACGTACCATCATGCACCAAACTGCAGGTAGGCCTTTCCCCTGATGCCCGCGCTAGCCCAGGCAGCTGCAGCCCAACACGAATAATTCAGCCTGTACTCAGCCCAGGCCCTCCTGAGCCAGAGCCAGGGGCCATCCAACCCTCAAAGACCCCAGACTCACCGCTGGAGCAGTCGGGTCCTCCCCAGCCAGGCTCACAGTGGCAGGTGTCGGGGGAAACACAGCGGCCGTGCACGCACTCCTCCGTACACAGGGCTACGGGGCGGGAGAGAGGGAGGAAGAACAGGAACAGACAATGAAAACCAACCATCTGGTCAAGGAGCATAAACCACTTTACAATGACTCCCCCAGGCCCATGGATGTGCCGAACGCATCACTGGCGTTGGAGAAAACTCAAGCCACCCCAGACCTCAGCTATTTAATTAACTCCGAAATGCATCCCACAAGAGTGTGCTTCATCCCAGCCTTGTTTCTGAGATGAAACCCAAGCCTGAAGAATGGCAGCCTTGGTGGCTTTTCAAGAATGTCTTCTCCAAGGCTTAACACTCGGAGACTCTCCATGAAGCCCAACCCCTCCATCCACACCCTTGCTCTTTCCCCATCTGCTCAGGAAATGACCTGTCACACCCATCATTTGCTTTCCCCAATTGCTTTCTGCCATGAAATCTATCAGGCTACTTGAAAAGAATGGGTTCCTCTCCTGCTTCCCCCATCTTTCGGCCCTCCTCCCCAAATGTCCCTATTTTTGAGGCTCTCAAATGTCAGCAAATCTGCAAAGTACACAAATGCTGAGGAAAAGGCAACTGCTAATTATAAGAAAGTAATTAAGAAAGACATCCACGATAATGATAATTGTAATTAGGAGGTGCCTGGCAATGTTTTATCAGGCAGTCAAAAGCTATAGCCTCCTGAGCTGGGAAGCAACAACGGCGAAGTTTCCATCAACTACTCCAGCGCGGAGATGGCTTATTGGCAGTACTTTGAGGCAGGGAGAGATTACTGCTCTCTTCCTCTGACCTCCACATTTCCTCAAGGTCATTTGCTCCTGAGAGATCTGCCCCACCATCTAAGCCATCAGTGAAGGATTACAGAAGACCCCATGGCCACCCCCGCCAATTGTGTGAGCTTGGGAAGTCAGCAGCTACCACCAACCCTGCCCGTTTCGTAGGAGGGAGCTAGATGAAGCACATTCTTCGGACAAGCAGCTAGCGCCCTTCTCTCTGCCTAGCACTGGCCTGGGGCAGCAGGTGGCCCCGATCATAAAGGCTGTCCCTGAGCTACAAACACCCCCCTGCTTCCACATCCACTGCCTGGCTTGAGAACCCACCAAGAAGTTAGACAACAAAGCCCATTTCATGTTGGTGTGGTGTCCTCTGGCCCCTCCTAAACACAGATGCTGACCCTGACGCTGTTGCCTTAGCTTTGGCCAGGCCTCCAGGCACGGCAGACCCAGAAGAGCCACTTCAGATGCCCCCTGGTGAGTGGTCTGCAGTCAGCTTGTCCTCTGTGAGAGCCCTGGCACCAAAGTCCTCATGGGTACAAGTGGCTTTGGGCAGAGTTCCGGTTTGTGTTGAAGACTTCCACAGCCCCTCACTTGGAGCTCCGGGACCTACCAGCTATCCTACTTCTTGCTGGGGAAACCGGCCGGACCCTGACTCCAGCGACCAGCTCCTCTTAGAATAGCGGTTCTCAACCTGTGGGTCGAGACCCCTGTGGCGGTCGAACGACTCTTTCACAGGGGTCGCCTAAGACCATCCTGCATATCAGATATTTACATTATGATTCATAACAGTAGCAACATTACAGTTATGAAGTAGCAACAAAAATAATTTTATGGTTGGGTCACAACATGAGGAACTGTATGTATTTAAAGGGCCAGAAGGTTGAGAACCACTGTCTTAGAACTACATGAGCTGCTCACCCGGCTGCTAACAAGACCCCAGCTGGTCATCCCTGCTGCCCTGGCTCCCCGGGCTCCCTCCAGACTTTCCAAACAAGCTCGAATGGGTCAATGTTCCCAATATATGCTGGACACCATGTGTCCCTCCCCACCCTCTGGCTGGGCCCAGCCAGCTCCCAGCTCTGGCCTCAGCTGCTCCCTCTTCCCTCCATCTCTCACTCCCACCGGCTGAGGTCCCAGCATGCTCCACAGCTGGGCCCCTCTGCCTTCCAGCAGACCCTTCCCATCAGCCTGTCAGATTAGCTCATGACACCTCCCCCTGCTTTCTGATCAGAAAGCAACTCTTTGATCCCTGGGGGTTCTGTCAGGTGTAGAGAGGGCAGTGAACCTACCAAGTGTCAGAGAAAATCATGCCCAACCCCGTCACTGTAAACATGGAGAAACTGAGGCCTCCGTGCCCTGGCCTCGTGGACATATGTGGCTTCTTGGCCAGGGAGGAAGGGGCTTGGGGACGAGGCTCCTGGGGACAGAGGCCTGTGAAGGCAGAGGGAGATGAGAGGTGCCCAAGACCACGGGGCCTTCACATGTCACCCAGATGGGAGTCCTCCCCTGCCCAGAAGCCTCAGGGGCTGGGGGAGCCGGTCCAGAGGGAACAACATAGGGGTGCTGTGGTTGACCCCCAGGAGGGTGAGAGCTGGAGAGAGAGGACAGAGGAGCATCTACAGGGTGGGGCTGAGAAGGGGGCTCAGAGCTGCTCAACGGAGGGACTGGGGGGCGGGGATCACCAGCACCCTACCAACCCTCGCCTTTCTCTGACCCTAAAAACCTGACCTCTGACCCACCTCCTGCGCCCCCCCCCCCCCCAGCTGGAAGTGAAGGCCTTCAGCTCACTGAGCAGGCTCCACTCCACACTGCCTCTTCCCTCGGGCCCTCCCCAGCTCAGCCCTGTACCCAGCACACTGAGGACTACGCCCCACAAACCCTTGGCCTGACTCCATGTGGTCCCTCCGGACCTCATTATCCCTCTCCCCTCCTCCCCCTGGTATTATGCCTGGGCTATTTGTTTGTCGAAACCTCAATCCATTCATATTTCATAGGTGTTGTTTAGACAGTGCTGTTTGAGGCATGAAATATTGATAGTAAATGCCCAGGCTCAGATGGCCAGATTTGGCATTTGGGCCACTGTGTGTTAGTGTACCTGGCGGGGACAGACTGAGATGGGGGTGCTGCAGGGAGAGTCTCCTGAGGAGGGGTGGCTGGAGGTGAGACCCATGAGCCTGGCGCTGGGTGGCTGACTCCCACGCCAGAGCTCTGGGGTTACCCAGCAGGGGCAGCCCCTCTACAGAGGGCAGGGACTTATATAGCAACTGCTCCTAGAGCATTCTCTCTGACTCCAGCTCCCACCCCCACCAGCTGACCCCCTAAGTGGGGCTGAGCCTGCCACCCTGATCTCCCTCTTCTCTGCTCCTGTAACTCACAATGGGTGCATTTGGTTGATCCCTCTATCCTTTACTTCACAGACATCTGCTGCTCGTGACAGACTGTGTGACTGAGGCCAGGCCCTCTCCTGGCCCCACTGAGAAATGTGAACTACTGCTCTCTCAGCTTCCCCCAGTCTACTGTCCTGCCTTGGTCCTCCTCCCAACACCCCAGGTGCCACAGGCATTTTTAGCGAGAAACAGCTTGGTATCATGGTTAAGAGCACAGTCTGCACCCAGAAAGCCAGTCTGGACCCAGCGATGCTACTTAGTAGCTCTAGACCGTGGGCCAATTACTACCCTCTCTGCGTCAGTCCCCATCTGTTCAATGGGGGACAGTGACAGGACCGGCCTCAGGCTGCGTGTGAGGATGAAAGGAGTTGACAAAGGACCCAGAGCAGTGCCTGGGGTATATACAGGAAGTGCTGTATGAGTCTTGCTGTTATTCTCTGTAGGGTGTCCTCAGACCTGGGGGAGGGTCCTTGCGATGGCTGAGCCCCTTTTATCCTTCACATGTAGGTCATCTCCCTCTCTCTCACCTTTCACTCAGGTCCTGGACACACGGGGTAGGCTGTAGGGACCTACTGACAGACCACTGGTTGGGGATGGTGTGAAGGGCAGTTCCAACGCTACCCCTGGTGGAGAGGCCAGGGTAAAAGATGAGCTAAGCTACAGCTACAATTATAGGACAATAAGCAAGTACTTAATCTTCCATGCCTCAGTTTTTTCATCTGTAAAATGGGGACAATAGTACAGTCATACATCACACAACAATGTTTCAGTCAATAACAGATTGCATATATGACAGGGGTCCCATAAGATTACATAGTGAAGGGTTTAGCAGAAGCTTTTGCCAACTCTAACAAGCCTCTTTAAAAGTTTGAAAACAGCCCTGGCCAGTGTGGCTCAGTTGGTTAAGCATCATCCCCGTGCAACTGAAAGCTGGCCGGTTCAATTCCCAGTCAGGGCACATGCCCAGGTTTCGGGTTTGATCCCCTGTCAGGAAGCAACCCATCAATGTTTTTCTCTCACATCGATGTTTCTCTCTCTAAAATCAATAAGAACATAATTTAAAAAATAAATAAAAGCTTGAAAACATGGTCCCCAGCATTAAACGGTTTTCATTAAAGAGAGAAATGTTCATGATACATTATCTGCTTACAAGCAAATTTATTAGAAAGAAAGAAAGAAAGAAAGAAAACAAACTGAGCAAATCACCATGGATATGTTTCTGAAAAGAGTGACACCTCCCCCAAGAAGAGCCTGAGGCAGGTCCTGCAGGAGGTGCTCCCGAAGAAGGCACTGTTATCACAGGGATGCCAGCTCCATGCACATCACTGCCCCTGAAGACCTTCCTGTGGGGAAGATGTGCAGGTGGGAGACAGTGATATTGATGATCCTGACCCTGTGTAGGCCTAAACCAGTGATGGCGAACCTATGACACGTGTGTCAGAGGTGACACGCGAACTCATTTTTTTGGTTGATTTTTCTTTGTTAAATGGCATTTAAATATATAAAATAAATATCAAAAATATAAGTCTTTGTTTTACTATGGTTGCAAATATCAAAAAATTTCTATATGTGACACGGCACCAGAGTTAAGTTAGGGTTTTTCAAAATGCTGACACGCCGAGCTCAAAAGGTTCGCCATCACTGGCCTAGACTAATGTGTGCGTTTGCATCTTAGCCTTTAACAAAAAAAGTCTGAAAAGTGGAAACAAAAAATTTAAGTAGAAAAAAAATCTTATAAAGATATAAAGAAATAAAATATTTTGTGCAGCTATACAATGTGTTTGTGCTTTAAGCTGTTATTACAAAACAATTGAGAAGCTAACAAATTTTTAAAATGTATAAATTTAAAAAGTTACAGTCAAAAA